AGGGTTCACTGTACATCTTTATGGGGAGCAGACGGGCTCAACCTTCTTCCATGGGGCGCCTGGGGCTTGAACCGCTATGCCTAACAGACCAACCCTTAACCTGTCAGCATACCACGGAGCTACCCTGAGCACCCCGTGTTACAGGTGGGGGGAAAGAGACGACCTACAGGAAGCAGCGCAGCTTGCCCGAGGCCAGAGGCAGAATTTCAACCCCGGCCCACCAGGCTCTGGGCTCATACCCACGTTGCCGCCTGCCTTTTGATGCCGAGAGAGAGTTAAAAAATACCAAACCCAAACGCACGAGAGAACACTGCTCTGGTATGGCAGGTTCGAGAGCCAGCCTGCCCGGGTGCACACTCCAGCGCCCCCCTCTTACCATTCAGGCAGAAGCACCAACCTCTTCTGCCTCAGTCTTGCTATCTGTACGATGGGGGTGATAATGGTGCCCACCTCCCGCCATGGCTGGGCACTTAGGATGAGTCGGGCTCGACAGCCCTCGGCAGCAACCGCAACAATCAGCCTTGTTGGCAGTCATCCAGCACCCGGTGGCTCATTTAAACAGGGCCAAACCCACCCATGGCACGTAGGGAGGAAAGCGCTGGAACCCCGCTTCGCTAACCCCACCTGCCAACTCATAACGACCCTATAGGACAGGGGAGAACTGCTCCGACGGTTCCCAAGGCTGCAATCCTTTAAGGGAGCTGCGAGCCTCGTTTTTCTTCTGGAGAGCAGCTGGCGTATTTGAACTGCTGAGCTTGTAGTTAGCAGTCCCACCGCCTGGGAAACCACGGGGGGCAGTTGGGTGGCTGTTAGGCACACTGGCTCTCTGATATTGTTGTGGTTCCTTGGGCACGTATTCTGTGGCACGCACATGCTAGGACTGACTGTCCAAGCGGTCTCTTGCACCGTCCGCCGGCTAGACCTTGTGCCCTGAGTCTCATCCCCATCTGAGGAACCAGGCAGCAAGGGAGGGGAGGTGGCAAGAAGGATAGGAGGAAGCTGCCCTCTCCTCTTCTAGACAGGCTGGTGGCCTCGGGCCAGGGGGTGGGGGGGCAGGTCAGGCAGGGGTGTGGCCAGTCCTGAGGTCCCATTGGCTATTCAAGGCCTTCAGAAGAATAAAACCCAGGGGCAATTCAGAGATCAGTCCACCTGCCCTCTTCCTCCCTCCCTGTCTGAGCCCCAGCCACCCGGAGCCACTTCCTCCCTGCAGGGATCTCTCTGGGTCTCAGGCCCAGCTCCATTGCCTCCAGCAGGTGAGTAACGCCCCCGCCCCCATCCTCAGCGCCACCCCTCCCCGGGCTAGGAAGAGGGGGGCCGGGAAGGCCAGACTGGAGGCGTCCCAGAGAGAGCTGGATGAGGGGAGGCGTGGGAGAGTCAGGCTTTGGAGCCAGACTAGCCTGGCTTCCAGGCCAGCTCGGCGCCTCCGTCTTCTCACCTGTAAAATGAGGACCGTAAGAGAGCCTTCCTCGTTGGCTTGGTTTGAGGGTGAACGTAGCTTGTGTACTTCAAGGGCCCTGCCCGGACAGCCTAACAGCTCATGTTGATTGATCAATATTGATGAGGCAAGAAGGAGCAGCTTCAGACCCCAGAGCAGGGGCTGCGGGGAGGCATACAGGCGGTGGCTTCCTGTGCCCCTCTCTCTGCCCATGCTGGCATGACCTCCTTTGCCAAAGTCTGGTCTTCCTGGGGCAGGACAGACAGGGGAGGCTGGTTCTGAAAGACCTGATGTCCATTTTAGATAAGGTGTTGGGAAGGTCGGGGGTGAACAGGGCATAGGGGGTGCTGTCCAAGATCTCTCCCCTGGAAGAGGTCTTTGTGGCCCACTCCTCCCACCCCTGACCATGGGCCCTCCCGTAGGCCAGGGGCTCAGCGATCTAAACTGGTCATTGACATTTAACTGGGGTGCCCTATTTTAGGGGGATACCCCCAGGAGCTGGAATGCCCCTGTTCGAGCTAACTTTTCTAGAACTGTGTGAGTTTCTTATCTTAGGCTCTGTGAATTCAGACAGACATGGGGGTACCCATATCTGGGGGGTGCTAAGGCTGGTGAGGTGGCCAAAATTCCCACCTCCCACTTTCCAATGGGGTATCTGGCCCAGTCTGGGTGGGGCAATGAGTGAGCCAGGAGTCCCCAGTGAGGGGCTGGACTACTTGATGCTTTGGGCATGGAAAGAGGGCAGTTACTCTTGCCTGGCCTTCAGGATGGTGGGAGGTGAGAGTCAGAGACGCCCCTCACGCAACAACCCCTGCCTCACCTGTCCTGCTTCTGCCCAAGTTGGGGAGGGGGGCATATGCTTAAGCCTGAGGCCAGCCTGCGGCCCACCTCAGCTTGTGAATCATCCGGACACTTCACAAGCCTGTGACCTAGACAGTACCTGGGATCTGGATCTGAGTTCAAATCCTGCCTCCCCCACCTGCTGGTTATGACCTGGGACAGGTCACGTTAACATTCCCGTTTCTTCTATTGTGCTATGAGCTTCTCCAAAACGTAGTGGCTTAACCCCAAGCAATCCTTTTATGGGTGTGGTTATGCATTGTGTTGTGATCTGCAAGGTCCGCAGTTCTAAACCACCGGCAGCTCCTCAGGAGGAAGATGAGGCTTTCTATGCTCTTAAAGAGTTAATGGTCTCAGAAACCCACAAGGGCAGTTCTACCCTTTCCTATAGGGTCACTCTGAGTCTGGATAGACTCAGTGGCAGAGAGTCAGTTTGACTCATGGTCCAGGGTCTTGGTTGGGCTCAGTGAGGTCATGTGGGGTGGGTTTGAGGGAACACCCCCTCATCAAAACAGAAAACAAACTCACTGTCATTGAGCTCCTCTGGCTCAGAACGACTCCATGCTGTTGCCGTTAGATGCCTCCCAGTCGGTCCCGACTCATAACGACCCCATACAGCCGAACCCAACACTGCGTGGTCCTGTGCCGTCCCCACCCTCAGTGTGATGTGTGAGCTCCTTGTGGCCATCCATCGTGTTAAGGGCCTTCCCCTTTTGGCTACCCCTCCACTTTACCAAGTATGATGTCCTCCTTCAAGGATTGATCTCTCCTGATAATAACGTGTCCAAAGTGCATGAAAAGAAGCCCTACCGTCCTTGCTTCTAAGGAACATTCTGGTCGTACTTCTTTCATGACAGATTGGTTTGTTCTTTTGGCAGTCCATGGTACTTTCCACAGCAACCCTTTAGGAGCATTAAAAGAATGGATGAGTTCATGGCTGAGAGACGTCAAACAGTGCCTGCACAGGGGAGTTACTTAACCAAGAGGTTCTTCCATCATGTTATAATAGCTTTGCCTCCCTGGACACTGGGCTTTCCAAAGACTAGTCGGTTTATTTTTCAAAGTATGCATTTAAATAAGTAATGCACACAGAGAACAAAGCAGTCAAACAGAGCCAAAGGGGGTACTTTATATACTGAGTGCCAGCTCTCCCTAAAGCCCTACCCTTGCTAGTTTCCCATGTGTGTCTGCTGAGATGCTCTGTGCGCATGGATGCTTCTGACTTGTTCATATGTGTTTATATCGTGTGTGTGTGTGGTGTTTTATACACAGAGAGACTATGCTTGTTGGCCTGCTCTTACTTTGCCCACTTAGCAAACCTGCAGCCCACTCCATATCTACACACGGTAGTCTATCTCTACATCATGCTTTTCAAAAGCTGCAGAGGTCTTAGACTATAGGCGCAACGCTCCCCAATGAAAGACTAGGGCATGCATTAAAAGAGCACACAGCATGATCAAGTAGGGTTCAGGCCGGGAGTGCAAGGATGGCTCAATAGAAAAGCAATGAAAGTAACACAACACAGCACTAGCACAAAGGGAAAGAAACAGATGATCATCTCTGTGGATGCAGAAAAAGCACCTGAAAAAATCCAATGCCTTTCTTGATGAAAGCCCTAAAGAAGTCTGGATAAAAAAGACATTCCCCAGTGTGAGTCGGTAAAGCGGTGAAAAGCTAATAGTCAACATGATGCTTCATGGGAGGACTGAACACTTTCTCCCATGAAATCAGGACGAGACAAGAGTGCACGTGCTTGTTTGAAAGTCCTAGCCAGAGCAATACAATAAGAAAAAGAAATGAATATATAATGGAAAATAAGAAAAATTGTCTATTTGCAGATGATATGATCCTATATATTGAAAATCCTAAAGTATCAGCCAGAAAAATGTTAGGGTTGATAGAGGGATTTAGCTAAGTTTCAGGGTACAAGGTAAAAAAAAAAAATCTTTTAAAAAAATCAGATGAGTCTCTATATGCCAGAAATGAGAAATCTGGAAAGACAACTAAGGAAACAATTCCGTTTACAATAGCATCTAAGAGAATAAAACTAGCTCGTTGGAATCAATCTAACCAGGAATGTGACGATCGCATCTAATGAGCCCTGTAAAGAAAATGCAAATAAATGGAAAGGTGTCCCATGTTCATGGATTGGAAGACTTAATAGTGTCAAGATGTCAGTATTACCCAAAGGGATCCCTGTAACTTCAATTCAGTCCCGATAAAAATTCCCACAGTCGGGGGAGGAGGAAGGGAGTGGGAGGGGAAAAAAGGAAAATGAGCTGATTCTGGGAACCCAAGAGGAAAGCGAATTTTGGGAATAATGAGGGCAACAAATGTATAGATGTGCTTTACACGATTGATCTATGTATTGTGATGAATTGTATGAGCCCCAATAAATTGCTTTAAAAAAATTTCCCACAGCCTTCTTGACTCATCTTCAACTATACACAGAGTGGAATGAGCTCCCAATGAGAAGGACAAAACATACTATAAAGCTATAATAATCACTACCAGAGCCTGGCACTGGTATAACAATAGACATGTATAAACCAAAGGAGTAGAATTGAGCGTCCAAGAAATAAACCTACACACTTAACACCAACTGACTTTTGACCAGGGTACTAAATTCTTCATGGGGATAGGAGCATCTCTTCAAGAAACGGTGCTGGGAAATTGGATTTCCACATGCAGAAAATGACACTGGATCTGTGCTGCACAGCCTACAAAAACAAATTCAAAATAGATCAAGGATTTAAATATGCAAACCGAAGCCATAGCATTCTCAGAAGAAAGAACAGGCAGAGGCAACGTTATCGGCCCTAGCTTCCAGCAATGAGTCCCTCAATATCATAACAAAAGTCCAAACAGTAAGAGATGAAGTAAATTGGACCTCACACAACTTTTAAAACTGTTGTTCAATCAGACTACCCAAAAGTAAAGACAAGCCACAGAGGGGGAGAGTCACTTCGAAAACCATAGATCTGGTAGGAGTCTAATTCCCCAAATACCCAAAGGGATGTCAAAGAATCGGTGGAGAGATTCTACTATGCTTCGTTCGTTGTTTTTTTTGAAGGAACTGTTTTGGAGCCCCCTCATCTATTCATTTCAACAATTTAGCAGCAAACAGACAAACGATCCGATCCTAAAATGGGCTACAGATTTGAGCAGCTCTTGCACCAAAAAGGACACTCAGCTGATGGCCAAATGCAGGAGAAGAGACCCCACCTCCTTAGCCATCAGCAAGGAGCCGATCAAAACCACAAGGGACACCGCTTCACTCCCACCCGACGTGTGACCCAACGACCCTCCTCCAGGCATATTCTCAAACGGCTTGAAAACAGAGACGAGCCAGTCAGGGGGCGATGTAGCAACGATGAAAAATACAACTTTCCTCTAGTTCCTAAATGTTTCCTCCCAGCTCCCACTACCATGACACGAATTCGACCTTGCAAGTCTGGCTAGACCAGAGGATGTGCACTGGTACAGATAGGAACTGGAAATCCAGGGAATCCAGGGCGGATGATCCCTACAGGACCAGAGGTGTGAGTGGCGATACTGGGAGGGTAAAGGGAGAGTGGGTAGGAAAGAGGGAACCGATGACAAGGAACTATATATGACCTCCTCCCTGGGGGACGGACAACAGAAAAGTGGGTGAAGGGAGACGTCGGACAGGGCAAGATATGACAAAATAACAATTTATAAACTATCAAGGGCTCATGAGGGAGGGGGGAGCGGGGAGGGAGGGGGAAAATGAGGACCTAATGCCGGGGGCTTAAGTGGAGAGGAAATGTTTTGAGAATGATGAGGGCAATGAATGTACAAATGCGCTTTACACAATTGATGCATGTATGGAATGTGATAAGAGTTGTATGAGCCCCTAATAAAATGATTTTTTAAAAAGCTCCCAAAAACAGAGGCTCAAAAATAGGCTTCTACGCGGCCATGCGTGGCAGCACCACTCACTGTGGCCAAAAGGTGGGAGCCTCCTCCCTGCCCTCCACAGACGATCGGCCAGGTGACCAGACGCTGGCCCATCGATACAGTGGACGGCGACTCAGCCAGCAGGTGAAACGAAGTCTCCAGACTGGCCGTGGTCTGGGTGGAGCTTGAAGACGGTATGCTGAGAAAAAGAAGCCCATCGCGACAGGCCAGAGACTGTAGGATTCCACTTCTTAGAAAAGACATGAAAAGTCACATGTTTAGAGACCAGCGTTTCTTGAGGGTGAGAAGGAGGGAGAAAGGGGAGGGGATTGAAGGTGATAGGGGGTAGGGTGGGAGATCTCACTGAGGAAACGCAGGAGTCCCAGGAAATTATTGCAAGCCGATTGTTGTCGTTGCTGTTCCTAAGGTGCCGTGTGGGCACTTCTGACAGAGCCACCTTCTAAGACAGGGTAGGACTGCCCCTCTGGGCTTCTGAGGCTGAAACTCTTGATGGGGGCAGACAGCCTCATCCTGCTCCCCCCGGAGTGGCCGGTGGGTTCAAACTCCTGACCTTGCGGTGAACAGCCCAACCTGTAACCCACTACGCCACCAGGGCTCTGATAAGTTGCATACCTGTCAAAAGTTGGATTGGCAGAAAAAGTCACTTGGTCGCTATATGACCCACCCCACCCCACTCCCCGCCCCCCCAAAAGGGAGCAGGCAAGCACGGAAGTAGAACCACATGCCTCCAAGGATTTGATTCCTTGGGTTGGAGCTTTGGGCTCATGGATGCGTGGGATGACCAGTTAATGAGCCTCGTAGTGTGGTGTTTAGTGCATCGGTTGTAGCTCCTCATTCATTGCCTGGGGCCTGGGATCTCTATTTGCCTGGGGCAACAGAGGAGGAGGAGGAGGAGGA